GTTTAAGGAGACAGCGATAACGAGTAAAGAAAAAAGTGAGAGCATTGAGGTAAGTGGGAGTCATGAGAACAGTTCAGCAGTAGGCTGTTGATGTAGAACTTGCCTTGTCTTCAAGGAGGGACATATCCTGTCAGGATAGAATGTGCAAATGCCACTTTTGAAGCACCAACTGAATTGCAGTTTCGGAAAATGTGTGTGTGTGTGTGTATGTTTGCTTGTAAGTCATTCTTGATTTCTGACAGCTGCCTGTACAAGTCCCTGCAGTTTTCTTGGCAAGATTTTCAGAAGTGGCTTGCCCTTGCGTGCTTCCTAGGGCTGAGAGGGAGGGACTGGCCCAAAGTCACCCAGCTGGCTTGTGCCCAAGGCGGGACTAGAACTCACCATCTCCTGGTTTTTAGTCTGGTGCCTGAAACTACTGCACCCAACTGGGTCTTGTTGGCTTTTTAATCCCTGGATTTTAAATGTACAGGCAACTTAAAAAAGATTAAAGCCACATCAAAACTAATTTTAAAGGCCTTCATCATTCACCTTTACAGGAGCAACAGGAAGATTTCAAAAAAGCAATTCTGGAAGGCATGGAGAAAACAAAAGATAAGGTAAAAAACTACTCTTTTCTGCATCAAATATATCATATCATCAAATGTTCATATTTCATTTCTAAGAGTAAGGCTGGAGGGTGATAGGAATTGTTGCAAGGTTAAGGGAAGCTGACATAATTGCTGTTAAAGAACAGCACCTACCAAGAAGTGACACAACTGATTTTAGTAGAGTAATGATGATCAGCAGCCCTGTTTTCTTTTTCACATGTAGGTCAGCAGTCATGCAGAAGGTCATCTCAGACATGTTAGCTCATATGGAGGCTTTAGTGACTATTGTAGAAACTCATCAGCTGCACAATCAGAGCAAAGTAAGTATTCATACATGCCTTCATTTTTAATTGGTGAATTTTATAAATTGCTGCAAATATAGAATAAATCTTCAAATACAATTCTTAAAAAACTGAAGAATTGTTTTCTCAGATACCGTTTGCTAACAAAGCCAGGGGACATGCCTTCTCTGCTGCAGACCCTGCCTTACGGAACATCCTTCTTCCTGAGATTAGATAAGCACCATCCCTTTTGCTATTCCAGAAGGGCCCTATAACCTGGTGATGCGATCAGGCCTGGGGCTCCCAGGGAACCAGAAACCTGCTTAGATGGCTCCGTTGCTGAGGGGGCCATTTATATGGTTTTTATATTTTTCCTGTTGTTTTCATATTTGTTTTTATCTGATTGTTGTATGCCACCGAGAGTTGCTTTTGGTGAGATGGGCAGCTATGTAAATTTACTTAATAAATAAAATAAATAAATAAAACCATAGACAACATTGGGCTATGCGCCTGGATCAACTGAATATTTATTTAAATGTAATCAATCAATGGTAGATGATAAATCCATTAAAATTATTCAGTTGACTGGAAATCCTAATTGTAAGGTCCATTTCTTTTAGCTCACAATAAGAGCAGAAGAGCATCTATTGAAGAGATTCATCAGGTGGATTCCAAGGCAGCTTTACTCACAGTGAGTAAAACATGCAAACTGTTATGCTATGTTTTTCTTGAGTGTTAAAGGGCAGAATCCGAGACTCCGAAAGTGAAACTTTGGTAATTGACAGAAAGTAACATACGACAAATTTCATTATCCACTGCCAAACAATACATGCTGTTGCCCACTGTGTTTGGTGATTTTCAAAATGGTGGATATTTCATCTCTCAAAATGCCTCTTAAAATGTGCAGGGAATTTTTGACCTCTCTAGCTCTCTTATTACTAGAAGGAATCAGGGAAAGAGCAAACTGAAACCGATCATTGAGTAGAAAATTCACAGACCACATTTGTAGGGTGGTTGTTTACACTTTCACTTAAGTCTTGGAGTGTTAATGGAAAGTTGATACTAGCATCACATAGAGAAGCCATCTGTGCTGCCCTTGTGTTAAGCTCATGCCTTAAGACTAATGTGAACTGCAGTCACACGACAGTTCAGGAAGGAAATCTAGCATCTGTTGTAGTATGGAGATAACTTTGAAGAAGGAATGCAGTTACTTAACAGTTTTTGCATTCCTTCCTCAATGTTATCTCTATATTCCTCTATACCTATGAAGGAACTTGGGAGAAAAAACAGACCACTGGGCTTTAGCTGAAATTGTTACAAGTGGTCTGCTCATTCAGTCACTTTGAGCCATTTAGATGGCTTTTCTTTGACCAGCAAAACAGCACTAGAGAAACATACTGAGGCTAAGAACATGATAATTGTATCTCTGGTGTGAGCCTCTGTATCATGCTTTGACATTAAACCCAGCAGTTAACCTATGTTTCATGGACACATCTCTGATTTTCCTTTTCAGGATTGGTTGCAAGGCCGAACTTCCTATAGGAATGAAATGTAAGAAAACCATTGTCAGCATTAAAACTTCCTGTATTGAGGTTTATCTTTATGCCTTTGGTTGCCTCCAGATCAGTAATTCTGTAATTGCTAATGCTGTCTTGATTTGATGTACAGGGAGTCCCCAGTTTAAGACCGAGTTCCGTTCCCAAGGCCTGTCCTTAAGTCAAATTTGTACGTAAGCCGGAACAGTATTACTGTATAATACTGTGTAAGTAGTATTGCATAATGAACTTGAACCACTGTGTATTTAGCTCAAATTTTGCTACAATAGGCTCCGTTCTTAACTATGAGTCGTCTGTAATTTGGCCATTCTTAACCTGGGAACTACCTGTATAAGAATTCATATAGAAAAGAGTGCAAATGAGGAAGCATGATAAAATATAATTTTGATTATAATATTCTACACTTACCAGGTTATGTTGATAGCAGATATGAAGGTAGCTATAATCATAAATTACTTACATTCTTTTATTTGAAACCCTATATTCATAATTGGTTGGTTGGGTTTATAGCCTATACCGCATGGTAGAATACTCCTGTACAGACATTCCCACTTATAGGGTACTCTGCCTGGGCAATTTTCTGTTCCTCCTACTTCACAAAATGAGTGAGCATTTTGTACATTTGAATCTGATCACTCCTCATGTGGGGGGAGGGGGGAATCATTAGAGTGTTTAATTTTTTTTCTTAAGAGATTTGCCCTGAGAATTTTTCTAAAGAATTTTTATTTTTGGGGAATTATGGAGTTCCCCTGATCCTGCTATCAGCTCCCTCTTAGGCATATATGAATTTTCGCATAGCATAGTGAAGAACAGGAATTGTAGCCTTACATATCTGAAGGCTACGCAGCTGATGAAACTAGTACACATCATTCGTCTTTTCATATGCTCATTGAATGAGCTTGTCAACACAACACTACCTTCAGTATTCTAAAGCCAAGGCTTACTAAATTTCTCCATTAATATTTACAATGTTAGAGAAAAATCCGAAGTATTGTCTTTCTGGAGATACTTTCCATGCTTTGTAGCATCATTCCATAAATTTGGCAAGCATGTTTCGGTGCTGATATAACCTCTAGTCAACCCTAGTCTACTGATTTTTTCTTCCTTGAACTGATCACTTCTGAAAGAAACATAACCGAAGTTCGTAGAGAGTTGGAGGTGATCTCCTAGAATTAGGTCATCTGAAGCTGCATTTTTATCATAACTGTCTTGCACAATAGAAAAACAACATGAAAGTATGGTTTAAGAAATGAAATAAGGGGGCAACAGATATTTTTATAATATTATTCATTTGAAGTTTGTTTTACAATAACAGTACAGTGAGAGAACTAAAATCCTAGCAATGCAGATAGCAGTAAGTTTTAATGGAATCGCTGTTTCTTGCAGGTCTTCTGAGGAAGATGCACTGAATGGTAAGGTATTGGTAACATAGTACCATGGTTACAGTCTTGATAATACCTTTCATACATTTAGTATATTATTAAGGTTTTGAACATTACATTTTCTTATATACAATAAATTTGGGTGTTACTTTATAACTTGTTAAAGTTTGATCAAGCTTTACTTGAAATGCTGATAGAGAGAGATCTACTGTGTTTCTAAAAATGTAGTGCATCTTATTGATTTAATCATGAAGCAAGTATATAAAAAACAATAGGACCTTGATTTATTTACTTATTTGTTTATTTTAGGTATAGCTTCCCCTTTCAAGCCCATTATGGATACTACCTACTACTATTCAGGTCAGTATCCTAACTTCCTGAAAGAGAACAAAAAGTTAAAGCCCTATGATCTTAACCTACAACAGACTGCTCTGTCTTTCTTTACAGCTGTGGAGAGAAATAATTTGATGAGATTATCACAGAGCATACCATTCACCCCGGTGCCTCCAAGAGGTAGGAATTTTCATTTATTAATTTCAAGTATTTCTAGATGACCTTTCATCAGATCAAAACAGATCTGGTGGGCATACAACAATTTAGATAATATATAATTTAAAACCTAAAAAAATGAAAGGCGCTAAGATCAGGCAACCATGATATAGAAGAGCAAATAGAATGCCAGCAGATTAAAGGGTTATGCAAACTAAGTGCTCAAGTAAGTAAACTTTGTCTTCACTGGATACCAAAGAGATTCTAACATTGATTATCTTTTTTAAAGAATGCATCCTAATGCCAGGGTGTTTCCTCTTTTACGATTATATAATCCATTTCTGACAAAAAGAGCACTTTGAATAAGAAAATTTATTGTAGTTTACTGTGAAATTTGAATAAGAAAGATGAACACTGTGTCTTCTTCCCTTTCTCCCTCCTTTTTTTGTTCTGTTTCTAAACTGTAGTTTTGAGTAATAGGAAATGAAGATATGAAAGCAAATTTTATAATGTAACGTTGAATTCATTTTTTATATTTGGTGGTTACTGATCTAGTAAAGATTAATCATTGCTGTAACAGGTCATTTCATTAATATTCTCTTGTACTTACCTGTATTTTTAATTTTGTTCTTGTGACATCATAGGAGAACCAGTCACTGTGTATCGTCTTGAAGAAAGCTCTCCCAACATTTTGAACAACAGCATGTCTTCCTGGTCTCAGCTGGGCCTCTGTGCCAAAATCGAATTCTTAAGCAAAGAAGAGATGGGAGGAGGTTTGCGACGAGCCCTCAAGGTGGCCTGCACTTGGTCTGAGTATGATATTCTGAAATCAGGTCACCTTTATATCATCAAATCTTTTCTCCCTGAAGTTGTCAATACTTGGTCAAGCGTTTACAAAGAAGACACAGTGTTACATCTTTGCTTGAGAGTAAGTTGTAGTTTTGCTCGGAAAGGGCAACTGCTTACAATACCATTGAGGCAGAACAAAATAGTTAGAATTTCCTTTTGTCGCTTCTTTCTCCTACTTTGTTCTTTTGCCTTCTGTTTTCTTTCCTGCCAAAAATGTCTAATTCCCCTCTGCTGAATATTGTATACACTTTAGCAGGGTCAGTGTCTACCCAAGATAGTGCTTTTAGTGTAATCTTATATGATGGTTCCAGAAGTATTTTTTTTTCAAATTAACAAAGCCACTTGCAGTTGCTGTTGTTACTACCTGTTAGTAGTAACAGGTTCCTAGTGACAAACATAACTAAATTGTGTCATCACACACAGAGGTGTCTATTGCATACATGTTACATGAATATGTGGTGTAGAAAATGTCTGTTAAAGATTTTAATATAGATGGGAGTTTTTGTTCTACAAAAGTGGATTTCTTATCCCGCCTAGGAAATTCAGCAGCAAAGGGCTGCGCAGAAGCTCACATTTGCCTTCAATCAGATGAAGCCCAAATCTATTCCATATTCTCCAAGGTAAATATGACGATGTCTTCTCAATAGCCCTCCTGCTTTCATTTCTAGACTAAATTATGCAAAGGAGTATGTAGGTTGACTTAATTTGCATGACACAGGTTGTAAAATTAATGCTTGCTTTCTGGATGTAGAAGGCCGTTTACTTGGATACGGAATATAGTTTTTATTTAATGGAAGACACCCCCAGATTACACTGACCTACGATAACTGCTGCTGCCAGCTGTTGCTTGTAGGTTTGATTTTGGGCAAAAACAGAAAAACAAATTTCCATGGAAGTATACCCAAACGCCTAATTGAATTTTCCTGGATATTAAATAAATAAATAATGTATTAAGAAGGATTTGGATATGTGACACAAACACACACACACACACCCCGCCCTTTTGGGGAGGAAGAATGAGCTGCTCCCTCAACTACTTGTAATGTTTTCTCACAAGGTTCTTGGAAGTGTTCCTCTTATATTGCCACTCGGCTGGTCAGTGGTTTGCAGTTGAAGAGTGCATGACTGGAGAATTCAGGAAGTATAACAACAACAATGGAGATGAAATCATTCCAACCAACATGCTAGAGGAGGTCATGCTAGCTTTCAGCCATTGGACATATGAATATACGCGAGGAGAGCTGTTGGTCCTTGATTTGCAAGGTATGTTGAGATGTGTTCCTTGTAGCTTTCAGTGCAGAAAGACCATGACATTCCAACAGTCATCAGCTCAGTTTAATTCATTCTCATTACATCAAATATTCCAGAAGAACGTTTTTCCTTTATTTCCTCCTCTGTATTTTTATGGTTGGTTGGTTGGTTGGTTGGTTGGTTTTTAAATCTCAAGCTTGTATCTAGAGCAAACCGATATAGCCGATGACTAAGAGGATGGAACAATGGTTATGAGAATGTTATAATCATTAGACAGAAACCTGCTATTCAGCAGCTGAGAAAGAGAGAGGCTTGAGTGGTGCTTCTACTCCCCTTGCTAATGTTAGATTTGGTACTTGGTTTCAAATGGGAAGGACATGCCCCTTACCTCCTGGGCTTGCCCCAAGTCTGAGAAATTGTCACATTTGTAACTTTTGCTGTTTCTTGTGAAGGTGTTGGAGAAAACCTGACCGACCCTTCTGTGATAAAAGCTGAAGAAAAAAGGCAAGTAATGTAAATGTTCTTCATATAGCGCAGGAAGGAGGGGTCCACATGTGCCTCTATGGAAATTGTCTGTTAGTTTTAGAGCTCCCTATTGATAAGAGGGCAGATGTGTGAATTAAACCCTCAGGTGACCTGCTATCGTGAAAACAGTCAGAAGCTGGGATCAGCAGATTCTGTGCTGAGGACTATCCAAATAAAGTTTTGTGATGGTATTTCTTTGTAATTCTGTGTAAAGCTGAACTTCTTTCTTGTCAGTGGTTTAAAAGGAGGCAGAATCTCCTCCATATAATGCGAGACCACATAAGGAATGTTGAAAGAAAGAAAACATGTTGATATGTGTTTTATTTCAAAGGTCAAGCGATATGGTATTTGGTCCTGCCAATCTGGGAGAAGATGCCATAAAGAATTTCAGAGCTAAGCATCACTGCAACTCCTGCTGCAGGAAACTTAAGCTTCCAGGTAAACAGCAGACTCTATTTAAGGGCGAGAACTTCTCTCTTGTAGCTTCTTTTTCATACGGAAAAGAAAGTTAATGCTCCTGTGGTTGCATGCAGTCTCCAAGAGGGAAGAGCCAGTGAAACTCCTTTTGATCACTATGTCATGGTTTCCTGTCATATAATCCATAAAACTGAGGTTAAAAAAGAAAGCTCCCCAAACTCCCTCCCAAATTTCAAGGAACCCTCCCCCTTGGCATCATTGTCGTCCCCATGATGGCCCTCAAGTCCCATGTTTTAGGTGTGGCTCCTGGCCACAAGTAGGTTGACCACTCCTGCTTTAGACCAATAGGCTGAGTTTTCTCGCTGGCAAATTTTGCCATGTCCCAGCAGGCACCAATAGCCAGTTTTATCAAACCAAAACTAGCAGCTGTGCCTGTCATCTTATTTTGATGTCTCGCATCTCTCCTAAGATTGACTGCTTGATAGGCAATCCGGCATGACAAGCAGGAATGTGTAGCATTGCTGCTCTGCAAAAAAATGTCCAGAAAGCATTACTAGTGGCACACAAATTCCTTTTTAATTGATAGGAGTTAGACTGCTTTCCTTCTCGTCCCTCCTCCCCCCCCCATCCTGGTTTGGCAGGACTTGGGTCTTTGTTGTTATCGTTACTGTTTTGTAGATTTGAAAAGGAACGACTACACGCCTGATAAAATCCTGCTGCCTCAAGAAGATTCTCCAGAACTGACCATTCAGCCTGGGAGCTGCACCAAAGAATCCAACTCAACGGGTTCCGGCCACTTGATGCTGTAGCCACACACCCTGGCTTTTCGCCCACGGCTTGTAGCAGTCAGCCGGGTCCTGGTGCCCTGCGTCTCCTTCCACTGGCTCTGGTCCTGGAAACTGACCCGTAGTTTAGGAGGGCCTTGTGAAATACAGGCATTGCCTATGGCAGAGGAGCCGGCGAGCTGGCAATTTATTCTTCAGTTTCTTTTTCCAAGGTGGAATTGAATTAAGTATTTATGAAGTAGCTTTTTAAAGAAGCATTTTAGCAGAAGGATCAACTTTACATTTTATCTTGGTCTGTGGAGGGAATCTCTCCCCTCTCAGCCCCTTCGTGCTGTAGTGCAATATGTGTCCATGACCAAATGACATTTTGGCTTTCAGTGGTTCTAAGGCCGAGGGTGTTCCAGGTGTTTGGCAGCTGGTTTCTGTCAACCTGACTAGAGAAATGGGAGAGAGCTGCCTCCCCCACTCCCTCGCCAAAGGGTTCTTTGACACTTCTCAGGGGGTCCTGAACATGCTCTCTTGACACCATGCCATGTATGTTTTATGTGGCTGAATGAAACGAGCTGCTCCTAGGAATATCTATCCGTATTTTGGGCCAGTAAGCTTTGAGCTGCAAGGGGTGTGAACTTCCGGTTTCAACCCAGACGCGCAGTGGCCTTGTCTCCTGCATCAGGATTCGCCCACCGAAATGTGGAGCCAGTTCGCGTGGGATGGATTCTGTGTAATGAATTCCCCATTTTTAAAATCAAACCAATATACATTTCAGCTTTATTAAGGCACTGTCTATGAATAGTAAAGCTATCAAAGATACTTGGAAGGAGGGCGGGGGTTAATCACAGTGGTAGAACAGAAATAGCATAGACTCTGGTTTTGGATAAGAAGTTGTCTTTTTTAAGTGAACAGGTGTCCTTGAAACCTATGTGGCTGCTTCATTAGTATTGCCTTCCAAAGATCTTCTAAACCTGTACATGGAACATGAATGTACACAAGAATTTTAGGACTTTTTCTAATGTCAGCCCTGCAGCGTGCCTTCCTGTGCTGCTTGGGAAATACCCAAAATCTCAGATGATGCAGACAGAGTCTTCTTTGGGGCTCCTTGCTGTGTCTGTGTTGTCCCAACTTCTAGTGAGAACTAAGCTGACCTGGAGGTCTTGCAAGGGACCAGCAGCGTCTGGCAACGTTTGAGGTATTGGAAGAGAGAGAGAGTTCTGGTTCCCGCACATCCTAAGTGACATCCAAAAAGAGCCCCTCAGTTGTATTTAATATTGTGTGAGAGCACATCTTTTATGTTATCTATGGGACTTATTTAAAAGAAAAAAAAATAGGGTTGAATTTACATTATGTAATGTACGGGAGATTGCAATGCAACTTTATGCCAATAAAATGTAATTTACCTGTCCAAATTTGTTGACATTTCAACAAGAACCTCTTTGTCCAACTAAAGTTTCATGCTGCAAGTTTTTTGTTGTTGTTGTTAAATAGGTACTAATTGTAATTTTTAATTAAAAGGCATCATAACGCTTAGTAAATCTTTTTTTAAAAAATTTTGTAGTGTATCTTATAGATACAGACATTAAGGCACGAACACAATAGCTGTTTAAATGGTGGTTTATGTCGCTGGGGGAGGAAATATATAGTGTATTAAAGCTATAAAACTGTATACATTTTATATATCAATAAATCTTTAAACAATCCCAAATAAATTTATTCTTGTTTAGACTGCTGACCTCTTTCCTTATTTGAATGATCTTAAGGGGGAATGGAAAAGAGAATTCTATTGATTTGATAATTGTTTGGGCTGTGTAATCAGGTGTGGCATAAGGGCATTCACCGCAGCTTAGATGAAAACTGCTGAATGTTTAAAGATACAAGGCATTGGTCACAGAAGCCAGTGCTGTAACCGAGGAGTCTGATTATGTTTTGTTCTGGTTTATTGATCATCATATTTCTACTAATCAAGGAACAAGGAGTGGCTTAAAGTTGTCCGTGTTTGCTAAAGCTTTGCTTCCCTATAAAGCAAAAAACAAGGAAGGAAATAACTGGCTAGGAGGAGACACGATGTTTAGAGGAAGTTGCAGGAAGGAGAAAACGGTATCAGTGAAGCTGTTTGGGTCCGTGCAGTCAATCTCTCTGTTGTCCAGGTAGGCTGTGTAGGAGGTAAGTCAGCTCTTGGAAAGCAATTGACTAGAACCTTGGATTAGGGTTCCGGAATTGCTTGGTGTAGTATTTTGTTAGAAATATCCCAATGGCATTGCCTAGCAACAAGGTAGAGTATATTTATGATGCCAGAAGAATCCATATAGGAACACCAGCAAGAAGTGCAAATAGTCATAGGGACAAACCCTTATATTTGGGGGAGGGGCCTCCTGAATTGCGAGTAAGATGAAACCATGTGATTGCACCAGAAAGCCAAACAAACAAGCATCAAAATGAAGAGGAGGTGGTAAACTGGCTCCCCTGAAACTTGAGTTGAAGCACTGTTTTGTCTCCTTGCAAGCCAGCTGATGGCTTCCAGGTCAACAAATATGCCAGATGAGTTCAATATATATTATCTTCTGTGAGTTTTTGCTTTTAATTCATTGTTATCTAATGACTGGGAGGTGAAGGGAAGGGTATGGAGAAATCTTACCTTTGGTTTATTTTGGGGAGATCTGGATGTGGTGAGGGTCAAAAGACCTGACTTAGGAGGATTTTTGGTTGTAAATCTTCCTGATGGAGCCTGAACAACACCAATAAATGATCTTTGGGGCAATGAGCAACCAAATGTCCCTGATACATGGTACCACTTTTTTGTTAAATAAGAAGCAGGTTCCTTGAGCTTAGGTAGAAAAATGGTAGAGTAGCAGCATTCCTTACATAATTAAATCAGAGTTCAGTGGTTCAGCTGGTGCAATTTTTTTTTTTTTACCAACAATACTGGGACTAGTATAGCATTTTACTTTGATTTCTTTCTTGAAAAATCTTTTGAATGCCTTGCTAGATAATATCTAGCTGACTCAACTGACCTTGTCCAATTCTGGCAAACCTTGATTTTCTGGGGTAAATTTTCATTGTGTGGCCATGTAAGAAGGAATGGAAGCATTAAGAGGTTGGAAGTTTGAAGTACAGAGTTGCTTCTATTGCTTTTCACTCATTTCACTATTAATTGCTATGAATATTGTTTTTGGTGGAAAGATGAGATACAAAATTACATGTTGAGCATTCTTAGCCTCTCCCATTTTACCAGGTTGATCATTTTGGACAAGGATTTTCGTAATTGCTTGATTATGTGCCGTCAAGTTGATGTTGACTCTTAGCGACGACATAGATAGATCACACAGATTTTGTACTAGCTTCCCGTAAATTGTGAAGCTGAACTGAAAATGTTTTGACTAGTCAGTGTTGGTAGGAAAATGAAAATCCAGGCAGTCAAGCTAACATTATTAAGCAATATCTACTGTATGGTTTGTGGATTAATACGATCCAGGAAAAGCCTATGGTAAAGTTATTATTGTCTGTTTTGGATGAGAACTGAAAGGTTCCCCCCCCCCCTTAAAGGATGACAGTCCTAGATGGGGTGGGCAGCTTTGAACACATTTGACATCAACACCAACTGGTTCATTTAATTCTCATGTGCTTATACTATCAACCAAACACCTTCCTTATCCTTTTACTTCACTTCCCCATTAATCTAGGAGACTGATTAATTTATAGAAATTGGAATGGACACTCTTGTAAAGATTTTGTTCATGTGGGACTCAAGTCAAAAACAAAACTTGTTTGACAATTGTTTGGCTTTGGAAATACAGCAAGAGTGCCTTTCCCTGGCAGACTTCGGAGGAGTCTATGGATGAATCCAGAGATGACACAAACCCACAGTATCAAGGACTTACCGGCCTGCGTAATTTAGGCAATACATGTTATATGAATGCTGTAATACAGTGCCTTTGCAGTGTATCCCCATTGGTGGAATATTTCCTCTCTGGAAAATATATAGCATCACTAGACAAGTAAGTGGATTGCTTTCTCTGCAAGAATGTTCTTTAGGAAACGTATTATTTTGCCTCTGTTTATTATTAAGCTAAGGATGCATTTTTTCCTCCATGAAGCCATGAAGTTCCATAGGAACATAAGGACTGATTCACAAGTTTTGTCTAGGGGTTTCTGTTTTGGGGGATTTTTAATGACTCCTGGTGACCTAAATCACCTTTTCGAGATTGCTGTCCTTATTAAGATGTTTTAATTACACTCTTTGATATGAATGTATGGACAATAAATTTATGTTAAGCAAGATTTGGATTGTGGTTTCTAATCTCTCCCTGAAGTGTTATAGGAAAATAGTAGAGAGGGGGACTTTAGTGAGAATTTAATTGTAAATCAAATAAGACACTGCTTTTGACATGTGAATTCAATAGAAGCTGTTTTCATAATTGTCACATTGGTTCACAGTGTATAAAGGCATTTAACATAGATGTTTTGAATAGAGACAGAGGGACTCTTCACTGTTCCAGGAACTCTGGGGTAATGCTGACTACATGACTGAAGTAATTGCTATTTCGTGCCATTTTAAAGTTTATACAGCATAGGAAAGAAGTCTTCTGTCAACTTACAGGATATGTGGAAATTGATCTATAATGAGACTAGAAAATAGTGATGCTAAACTGGTATTATTATTGATTCTTTCTTTAAAAAATGCAGGAAAGAAAATATAGAAGTTTAAAAAGATGCTTGAGCAGCTGAGATGTGGTTTGATTTGCAGAGCCTGTGAATGCATATGCGCTCCAGTGGATTCATTGCATTGCATGGGTGATTTGCTTCCTCAACATGGCTATTAGCCTTGAGGGCAGTGCGACTGCCTCTGAAGGCCATCTGCTGGGAGACTCATGGTCTTCCTTGTGCAGTTGGTTGGCCTGGGAGAACAGCCTGCTGGACTAGATGGGCCAGGGTCCGATCCAGTAGGGCACTGCTAATGTTCTCGTGTTCTTATGTATGCTACCTCTTCTCTAAGGGAGAATGGAGAGATTGCAACAGCTTTTGCCTATTTGATGAATGACATGTGGCTTGGGGACTTCGACTGCGTCTCTCCAGAGGTCTTTAGATTGGTCATTGGTGAGCGATACCCTACTTTCATCAAGAAAACCCAGCAGGACGCTCAAGAGTTTCTGATATATGTCTTGAATGAACTACATGAAGCTCTCAAAAAGGTGAACGCTCTTCATCATTTATGAAGTTTGGTAGCACCGAATGAAGGATTATGTAACATACTAAGCTTAGAACAAGTTTGTAAATCTAGCTGTAGAATTTTGATCAGTCAAATAAGGTATAATTAACATTGGGTATCTTTTGGTTCTAGTACTATGAAACCAAACCATGGGTTTTTTCCACTCTGCTATTTTAACTTCTGCTTCTCAGTAAGTCATGTTTTGTTGGTTCAAGAGTTGAGAAGATTAAAGTATGATTAGTACAAGCCATAGTTTGCTGGCAATGCAGGATTGCAAAATCTCATTCAATGTTGGCTTGCAGTCATAGTTTAAGGATATAATAAACTATAGTCTGCCCAATTTTGTACATACATGCTGAAACTTCAGGGCTTACCCATGTCATATTGTGGTTTGGAATGATGTCTGAAGAACCAAACAAAGGAAAGAAAGAAAAGAAAAATGATACCAACGATACAGAAAAGATATACTTAACAGCCATGTTTTGTTAGTCTAAACTTTCCACTGAAGAATATGCCATGCCAGGTTTTGAACCTGTTCCCACCATATTTCCAAATGGAGATGTTAATCCATCTGTGTAGGAAATGATGGAATCCCTTTTTTCTTAATCTGTAGGCCTGTTTAACACATTTCATGTTGTGGGTGTCAGTATATGCCTATTTAGGGCATTGTGTGGTTTTTGTTTTGTTTTGAAGTCAGTTTTTGACTCCTTGTGGTTTTCTGGGAAGCATTTTTGGAAGTGGTTTGCCCTTGCCGCCTTCTCTCTAGGGCTGAGAGAGTGACTGGCCCAGAGTCACCCAGTTGGCTTCCATGCCTAACGCAGGACTGGAACTCAGATTCCCCCCGCCCCCCCCCTCCCGTCCACTGCTCTTAACTGTGAAGTCCTTGGGAAACGATAATGGTGAATCTTAAATCTATTACTACCATTCAAAAAACAAAATTGGGGGACGAAAACATAAAAAGTTTAGCTTTGAATTGGTACAGCAGCAAGTAAGAAATTGTCTTGAGTTTCCCATATCATGCCTCCCTTTTCTCTCCTGTAGACAAGTAAGAAAAAAAATCAGGGAAACTCATCAACTGCTTGGGAATCCAGGAGTTGCCTCGGCGAATCCTCCATTATCACCCGACTTTTTGAAGGACATCTTAGCTATGACATCATGTGTTTGGAATGTCAAACCACTACTTACAAAAATGAGATCTTCACTGTGCTCTCTCTACCGATACCTTATGAAACGGAATGCTCACTTGAGGTATTGGCTTTTCTCTGTGTATGGAGACTGTCCCCATTCAGGTTTTTAAAAATCCCTTACAGCCTAATGTAGTGGACTAGTGTAGTACAGATGTTTTACATGTTACATTATTGTTCTTTATTAATTTTTAAAATGACTCTTTTAACCTGATCCACAGAGATCAGGTATGTATCTTGTTCAGAGTCAAGAATGATTAGAGCAACCTAGAAGGAAGGAAGGAGAGAGGGCGGGACGGAGGGAGGGAAGGATAATATATCCATTCTTCCATCTGCAATGTGATCCTAAGAAGTGATGATCTTGAGAAGAGGTAAGAGACCTAACCAGCCTTCTTACCCAACGTATCTGTGTACGTGCAATAATTTATTTTTATTTCGATGAAAAAAAATCGTACCCATCAGTGGCCTGTAGGCTACTCATGATAAATATTTAAAAACAAACATTAAATGGAGAAAGTAGCACACTGCGCTACAAACCCAAACTTTAGCATCGTATTTATTTCCAAGACTCGTTCTAGGCTTTGTGGGGCAGTCTTAGAAAATAAAAATGGTGGGTGGGGCAAACCAGAGCTTTGTTTTAAAATGTGCTCGCTTGTCTAGAACAAAAGATGAAGGTAATTTGGGGTATTTTGTGGACCACCAACAGAGGGGTGATTTATGGCAGGACAAGCACATCAGGGCAGCTAGTTGGTGAATCAGAGGGGTCACTTCACGTGGAATCATGACATGCTTGCCAAACTTCAGCTACATCCACTGTCTAACCCTTGGTATTAAATTTTGAATGTAATGTAACCTTTCAAAAATAATCAGTGTAGGATTTCATTGCAAGCACGTAATCACTGTAATTAATTATGCCTCTTTCCCAAACTCCATTCCTCTCCAGGAATGTCTTGATTGCTTCTTTCAGCAGGACGTGCTGACTTGGAACAACCAGATCAACTGCTCCTGCTGTGGGACAAAGACAGATGCTGCAGTGAAAGCCAGCATAGCTAAATCACCCAAGATGATCATCTTCCACTTAAAGAGGTAGGCATATTTTCCTTCATGGGCAGACTTACACAACAGATAGAGTAAAGCAAATGAAATAATGAAATGGGTACCATCAAGAGACAGAGGAAGAACAGAGACACTCTTAAAAAACTAACAATGAACCATTTTATTATGTGCCATCAAATTGGTGTTGACTCTTAGCAACCACACGGACTTTCTGCAGGAAGATCTGTCCTCAGCCTGGTCCTCCAGGTTTTCCAGTGGTGCACCCATTGTTGCTCTAATGGGGTCTGTCTACCTTGCTTCTAGTCATCCTCCTCTTTTCTTCCAGAACCATTTGGGAGTCATAACTGATACAGTCTGCTTTGAGTTGAGTTCAGTGCTTTGTGACTTCATGGATACATCTGTGTATTTTTCTTTGCAACAGCATGGGAGTGGTTTGCCTTTACCATCTTCCTGATTTTTAATTTTTTTCTGGCCCAGTCTGCAGCTGTGGTTATTCCCTGATGGTTTCCCATTGAAGTACTAACCAGGTTTCTGCTCAGCTTTTCAAGAATAGCCGAGGTTAGCTATGTGCTGCCCCCCAGCTGGACTCATAACTTACAGGGCCATACTCTAAACAAATATTAAAGCAGCCAGCTAGGAAATCAACCCGCTAATTATTGCAGGCAAATTGCATTGCAGAAAAATGTTCTTGAAGGGTTCTAGTCAAAGATAATGGACATGGAATTCATCCTGCAGCTCAGGAAAAGATGTTCTAAGAGGGGAGTATCCTAAATCTCCTTTCTAAGGCTACCGAGGGTAAGATGTCAGTCCACAGGAACAACCAGGCTCTGCAATATTTAGGTATAATAAGTTGCTGAAGGTACTTAGATGGTTTCCTTGATTTAACTTTCTTGTCAATTCTACTATATACATGTTGAGTTTGTCTATCCAGAATCCTTTGCCCGAGTGCTGCATAGGCCTGTTAGTAGTCAAAATCACCAGTGACAGACAAAATCCATACTGCTGTAGTGAATTGCTTATAAATGCTGAAAGGAGGAAAGTGTATTTATGCCATAGTATTTGACCAGAGTTAGGGAGCTGTCTCCTCCATCTCCTGTTACCATTCCCACAGTATTTTATTTGAGGGGTTTGCAGCTGCTTCCATTTTCTGACAAAGGAAATGCTTTAAACTCATGTTCATAAACCCAGTGTTTTTTCTTCGATTTTTTTTTTTTTTTGCATTCAGCAATGACATATATTGAAACAAAACTAGATGCTATAATGCCAGTGCAACGCTACTGGTCCGGTCTGTTTATTTCTACCCTCTTCTTTCATTATAAATATGACTCTAAACAGTATACCAAGATGACTTAAAAACTATTTATACTGTACTGCTCATAAAGATCGTACTTTATTTTCAGATTTGATTGTCAAGGCAGTTACAAAAAGAAACTTAAAACTGACATCTACTATCCATTAATTAACCTGGATTTGTCTCCTTATATATATCCACTTTTTCGAAAAAATCCAAAATACAACTTATTTGCAGTAGTGGTAAGTGACAGTAGAGGATTCTATTATTCTTCCAGGATAACATTTCAGGTATCTGCCTGCAAGAACGTTTATCTTATTTCTGAATCACTTCATAGATGTAGACAGTAAGAAAACTGAGAAGGAATTCAGTAAAATAATTTTATTCTGTTCTGTAGCTGGAAAGGATGAATGTATTATGCTGCTATGGATTGAGGAGAGATTGTCACACAAAACCTTGTTAATTGATACAGCCAAGAGGAAACCTTTTTTTCTCAGTGGTGGATGTTATAAAACAAGGGGATCTATTAACAAAGTTATTGTACTCCCCAGACTACAGCAATAAAGTGCAAACAGATGAACTAGACTCTAAGACCTTCACATTCAGTTTTTGCTCAGGACATCCCTCTATCATTGGGGAAAGATTGGAGATGGGGGGGGGGAGTGGAGGGAGATTTATATATGCCTAAAATAGACTCATTATTAGAGGGGACAGCAATGTTCAAATCCATACATCATCCTGGATGGCTTTAACCAGATATTCTTTTCAATGAAGAAAAGAAATACATTCTTTTAAAAAGTTACTTTGAGATCTTCCATACTGGTCACACAGTATTTACAATTCAGTAGAGAGAGGTAAAATAGGGGGGGAAATCTATCTCCACAGCTTTGCATTTATGATAGAATTCATATGCAATGTGACCATGAATTAAAATAAAGGATAAAACCTTTGCAAGCTTATGCCTCATACTAAGAGCTGGGTAGTTTGTCCTCCATGATGGTGCAAGGTATAGTTGATCTCATTAAATTTGGCTCTGACTTACATATCACTGCACAACTAATAACAAATATATGTTGGAGAGTGGCTAGTGTTGGATTGGGAAGTCAGAAACAAATCTCCACTTAGTTACTAATTTTGAAAAGAACCTCCCTCTAATAATGATAATTATTAAACTAGGATATGAGACCCATGTGCTGCTTAACTTAGTTGCTTGAAGGAACTACCCTCTCTTAATAAACTTCTAATTTGTTGCTATTGTTGCAGAACCATTTTGGAGATCTGGATGGTGGCCATTACACTGCATTCTGCAGACACACACTCACCCAAAACTGGTACAACTTTGACGATTCCCAGATCAACGAGATCCCAGAATCTTCTGTACAAACATCTGCTGCCTACCTTCTGTTTTACAGCAGTCAAGCTTTCTCCGTGCCTGTAAAAAACCAAAATGTCTAGGGAGAGCCGAGTAGTAGATTCCAATGGCCCAGTCAAGATTGGCCCACACTTTGGCTGTCATTCGAAAACAGCTGCCCGTTTCCTGTGCATCTTTGGACTATACTGATGGAGTGACTTAGAAGCTGGTCCTTCCATGCCACCTTCAGTGAAAAGAATGCTAATCGGTGAGCCTTGCACAGATGGCGCACAACACCTGCAGTTAAATAAATTCTTCTTGGGCAGCCAGAGTTGAGTGTTGATTATTGGTGCAGAATCCACTGAGAACTAGATGCTTCCTTCTGCGGATTACATTTTTGAGTGGATTATACACTGCTGGCTGAAGGTTATAAGAGTTTGGCAGTCTTTCAAATACAAAATTATGTATATTATTTAATAAACCGTAACCACTTCCTCTCAAATTGTTCTGGAGTAAAGGTTAGTTATGAAATGTTTCCCCATGTTCCAAAATCCATGCTGCTTTAAACAAAATATTCAAACAGTCCTGGGTTCTGTATTTGCTCTCATCTATTCTACCCTTCCTGAAATAATCCCAAGAGCCAAATGTATTAAATTGCAAAGCAAGAAATATTTATCAGGCCACTGCATTTTGAAACAATTGTGTAAGATTTTTTTTTTTTTTTAAAGACACGAATACAGGATACTCTTATAGTAAAAATTATGTAATGTTTCAGTCTTCCAGAGTACATTGTAAAGTGCAGAGATAGACATATAGAAACCTAGTTTGACAAAGCAATCATCTCTCTTTTAGGAGTTTTTGTCAAAGGATTGTTATTTATTATATACATGTTGGATGTGCAATTCTGCAGTCAGTATGTACACATACATTCCTATCTTATCTCATTCTAAGATATTCACAGTAGAATCAAGCTTAAGGTTAGTGTGAAAAGGCCATAAATGTGGGAAAGAGGAAAGAAAGATATGCTTTGAGTTTTAGGACATCTTGAATCCATCTCTTAATACTTTTCAAATGACTAAGCAAGATTTATAATTTTCAAGCGTAGCTACAAATAAGTCAATTTGAAACATATTATTCAATATCAAGCAGCAGAGTTAATTTAATTTTCAGCAATAGCACTAAAATACATTTTGGACAAGAAACTGCTGCAGCCTTCTTTACTCAACTTTATATTTGTCATAGCTCAGTAACGGTTGGTGCATTTATAAAACAGCCAATGTATCTTCGGTCATTCCTTTAAGTGGCTATATCTGCAGCCCGTTGTTCATAAGATGTATAAAAGAGAATATAAGCAGCTGAAGATTTCACGGAGGATGCAGAGATGTCAGAGACTTCGTGATCATCAAATTTATACCATCGCTGTTTTGCAGCATTTTTGCAATAAGCTGTGTAGTGCCCGCCGTCCAGCCCCCCATAATGGTTCTGCAGAGGAAAAAAATTAAATTAGAATCAAGAGCTTCAGGTTCTACATGTGGGAAAACGATCTAGGAATAGAAAATATTGAAAATATATATGTACACTAGGGAGTCTGTTTATTAATTAGCCAATAGCATTCAAAAGGCCGTTACTTACAGATACTGAAAACAGGTTGTATCTCTTCAAAATGCTTTTAGGGCCAATGACATATTGTGACAGGTCAAGGTTCTCCAAAGGGAAATCGACAGATGTTTGAAGCTTTTGCTTCCACCGTCCATCGTATGAAAATCTAAGTATGAGCAACAGGAAATAGGAGTTACACATTGCTGGGTGTACAAAAAGTAGTAAATCTTTTAGAAAGGAAACGGAATTATTCTGGCACTACAGACTGAACCCACTGCATTACTGTTCCCCAGAACCTCGCTAGGGCAGAAACGAGCTGCTTACCCCAGTAAGTGGCAGCATGGTCTGCAAAGAACATATTACAAATGCTTTATTTATTTATTTATTTATTTATTTTATTTATTTATTTTTCTCCCCCGCCCATCTCCCCCACAATAGGGGACTTTGGGCAACTTACAAAAAACATTAAAACTATAAATATATATAAAACACATAAAAC